GTTGAGTAACCAAACCAGGATCACACAGCTGATAAATGACCAATCCTCTGAAATCTCATTGCCTTCTTGGAGAAACGAGGAGTGGGTTCCCCACATAACTAAAAGCAGCAGGGAACCATTCACAGGTGGGTAATACACGCTCTCAAATAAGAACACCAGTTGGGAGGAGCTATGGTTTTGCAGGGTAGGTAGGCAGATAGGGTAGGAAGTGAAGTAACAGTGCAAGGGAGCAAATACCAAGTGGAGGAACAATTATCTCCCTCTGCTCTGGCTTGTGGGCTTTCCTTCTGCCCATCTGAGGTGCTGGCCTCGATGTTGTGCCTTGACTGGTGGTGTGGTACGTCTATGTGCGGCATCGGCGAGAGCTGGACCATGAAGGACAGAAGATCCACGTGATCCTGGCCCAGAGCACCTCCGTGCCACAGTTTCCAGAGAAGTCGGGCGTGATTCGGGTGAAGCAGTACAAGCAGAGCCTGGCGATCCAGAGCGATGGCAAGAGGGGGAGCAAAGGTAAAAAGAGGGCACGTGTTGGCGCACCAGCCAGGGCCACCGATGTAAGGCCACACTGGCTGCAAGGCACATAAAATGCAGGATGCTTATTCCCTGAGGTCAGAGACTTAGGCATGGGTGCAAAAGAACCAAGGGAGACTCAGTTCACCCCAGAAGCTTGGCTGCAATGCAGCGTGGATGTTTAAATCTGATCAATTCATTCTTTATTGACTCTTGCATCATCCAGATGAAATCAGAACATCCAAGGGAATCAAAATGTTTAGAAACTCAGTTCAGGCTGGTCCTGTCCATGCACATGCTGGCCAAGGCGGGGCAGGAGGGCTGGTGGGACCATCTCTGAGGAGGCAGCTCCTGCTTAGCAAAAACCCAGGGACTCAGAACCTGCCTGCCTTGAATTCCAGCCTCTGGAGAGAGGCTGGGGGGGTCCATGCGGCCACCTGCTGGACTGGAATCAGTGTGGCCTTGAGGCTGCAGCAAAATCTGACCTTAGTTGTGACGTGTGTTAGATCTGCCACCTTGGGCATGTCACCCCACTCTTCTGAGTCTCCATTTTATCATTTATAAACTGGGGTTCAATTTTATCAGCTCCTTAGGATTGAGATGACTAGTGAGAGAAATAATAAAATGAGAGACTATATCCAAGTCAAGCACTTGCCAGGAGTTTAATAAACATCAGCAGAATGTGCCTTGGCTGTTTTCCAAAATGTTTATATGTAAGTCTCCCGTGAGGCAAGGCAGAGGGGCGAGTCCACTTGAATTCCGTGTTACCTCCTTCCTTACTTTCTGGACCTGGATATGAAGGTGGAATGTTTGCAAGGTTTGTTATTGTATCTTTCTAACGTGTTTCTTCCTTTTGAATTGTCCTTTCTTTCCCTCCCTAGTTTTCATGTATTACTTCGATAACCCAGGTGGCCAAATTCCGTCCTGGCTCATTAACTGGGCTGCCAAGGTGAGATCCCAGGAGGTAGGAGGGGAAGTGTGTGTGACAAATGTTGGGGCTGTCAGGCTGAAGAGATGTGCTGTCTCAGGCCTCATGATGCTCTTTTATGAGACAGCTCTGTTGAGTGTCTATGGTTAGGACTGGGGTTACCAATGCCCAGCACAGAGGCTGGGACAAAAGTCAAATAATCTTTACCTGGAATGTCAGCCCTCCCTGCTTTGCTCTGAGACCCCGCACCAGGATCACAATAGATCACAGTAGGGACAGTGGTGCCTGTGGATCCTCTGTCTGCTTATGGAGGAGTTAGACAGGCCAACCTGGCCCAGGAGACACCAGCCATGTCCAAGCCTGGGGAAGCCTTCAGTTTTTTTTATGGTTATTTTGTTTTTCTGTAAGGAGAGGGAACCACAGTGGTACCCAGATCACTAGAAACTGCCTAGGACCTGGAATCATGCCGACCATTCCGTCTGCTTTATAAGGCCCTACTTACTGGCTGGAAGGCTCACCAGTTCCCTGGGAGAGTGAAAAAGCACATAGGTTTTGAGTCAAACACATGATATTTTGAATCCTGGCCTTGTTTCTGACTGTGTAATCTAGGGAAGCCATCAATTTCTTCCCTCTTAAAAATAGAGATGGATATTCCCACCCTGTGGAGAAGGAGTATATAGAACAATGTTTGGAGAAAGTCTTGAACAATGTTCAACACTAACTAAAGAATGGCATATCCTGTCTCTTGCCCCCAATCCTTACCATTTTCTAATTCTGTAAAGCAAGTCCTTTCTCTCACTTCTTTGGAAGAATCCCACAGCCTAACCCAATCTCATTTTTGGGTTTTCTTTTTCTTTTGAAAAAATGGTGTCTTAGAAATATCTTAGCTTTTTATTAGCAAAAGTTAAAATATACAACAAGGTCTTACAACAGTGGCCCCTGCGGTTCAGCCTTACCTGTGCCCTGCATCTTACCTTTTGTCATCAGCGGTTGGAACGCTCTGTGGAAATCTGTTCGTGGGCCCTATTGTCATATTTATTACTCCCAAAGCCATCTTCCTTTACCTTTGCCACATCCCAAAGAATTAGGAATAATCCCTGTGAGGACATAGAAGTGACAGTCTCCTTTCCTTTGCAGAAAGGAGTTCCTAACTTCTTGAAAGACACGACGAAAGCCTGTCAGAACTATCACAAGAAAACCTAAGGGAGGGAATTGGGAGCCTTGTGTCCATGGAATGATGTCTCCGGAAGTGCCACAACCGCCAGCGCTCAGCCTGCCTGTCACGTTTTTGTCCTCAGAGGCCTGCACGCTCTCCAGCAGGTTGTCCCCAAGTGTGTTTGCCTGACGCCCGGCTTCCTTTCCCACTCTTCCTTTCCCAGGAGCTGCTGCCTTCTTCCACTGTGGAATGTGGGTCAGATTAGGGAAACTTTTGCTTGTTTATTTTTAAAAAGGGGAGTCCTCAGTAAGGAACACAGTCAATCCATTGTGCCACTCTAGGGAGATCTTGGGTGGAGGACTGACAACACCATCTAAGAGTGACTGATCCTGGCAAGCTGGCTCCTTCCCACATGTGATTTCTTGCAACCCAGTGGGGTGATTTCCTGCTGAAGTTGCATTTTCTTCAGAACTGACGCTCAGTGCACCAAGACTGGAAGATTCATGTCTATTTGCCTTATGCTTTGCTGCCTTGATTTGAGACGATAATCCACTAAGCCTCTCCCCATTCCTGCTTGTGGAGGATCATGAGCTGTTTTGATTTTAAACCATTTTGAAAAACGTTGCAGGCCTGACTAAGTGTATAGTGTGATAACAGTTTTTTCTCATCACCCATGTCTGGGTTTCTCTCTTTCCCATATGCCCCTGGGGAAGGCTGTCCGTACCTCACTAGCTCTGCACTTTACTGGACACTGAGGCATCAAGACTGCTCTGGCAGTTACCAGAAGCCAACCTACTTTGCACACAGCATTGAGATAAAGTGTCTTTTTATGCAATTTCCCTTCTAGAATGTTCGGAGATGTTGAAAGGATAAGAGTTCACAGCCAGGGAAATATTAATTAGTGGTGTGGTTGACTCTACACCTTTTTCTCAGGAATTCTACCTAAGTTATCCACCTCTCCCACCACCAGAAGACTTTCCGTTTCCTACTTTTCTCTTGAATTTTGGAGGGAAAGATACTCTGTGGACAAAGGCACAGCCTTATAATCTCAGGGAAAAATTTTAACCACTGTATGTGATGGTACCAAACATTGATTAAGGGGCATAAAAATTCGGGATGCAAGGCCAGAAGCAGGGTATTTATTAAAATGGGATACTCCAGACTCTGTAATTTCTCTCTGGAAAGGGAAGTGCATTGAATACCAAATAAATACAGAGTGACTTATACTTGTCCTGTCTGCAGTCTCCTTCCTGCCTTGTTCCTTCCGTGAGAATAAGTCTGTTAGGTCTCTGGTTTGCAAGTCACATCCAACCTAACTCATGGACTTGAAGGAATTTTAGGCTCACTTACATGCAAGGCCAGGTGTAGAGTGGTCTCAAGTAGGGGTTGATACGGGTGCTCAAACTGGCATTAGGAATCAGCTCTGTTCTTCTTTAAGGTTTCTTTGATTTGGGGCCGTATTTGGTGGCAGGATTGCTGCTAATAGCAAATAGTAGGCCTGCATCTTCTCAGGTTCCTGCTGAGTCAAAAAAAGACAGCATTTCTTTCCAGTAGATCCTGAACCATCCCATGATTTCCTCTAAACCATGTGTCAATCGCTGCCCCAGTCACCGTGGTCATATGGATAGAATTATGCAAATTAGCAATTCGTAACTGTGTCATTAAAATATCACTATTAGTAATGTAGCTGGAATTTAATTTTTGGTAAGGTAAATCTAAATGTCTCATGTAATAGAGGTCAAGTTGACATTTTATGTATAAAGTAATTGAAAGACAAACACTAGGATTATAGTCTTTGAGCAGAGAACCTGCATGAAATGGTGTCAGGCAAACTGTATCTTTTACAGTGTTTGATAATCTGGTAAGAACACTGAGTATACTAAGAATACTGAGTTTCTAGGTAAGGCAGTTTAAGAAAAGTCACTAAGCTTGCTATAATTAGTAGGGTTAAGACCCTTTGGCATTCATGCTTGCTTATTCAGAGAAGACAGTCCTATACAGCATTGATATAGGTTACGTGGGAAACTGAGAACCCCTGAGCCAATATTAAATGCAAGGGGCCCAAAATATGTAGAACTGGTGCTCTGGAAGCTGCACTGGATTCTTCAAGGTCTGTCTCTGTGCAGGGGCTGAAAGTATCATTTGGAATTTGAAAGTTATAAGTGTATTGTCATTCCTCTAGCTCTTTGTTTCACTTATTTTCTCATGTCTGTCTCTCTGAATAGACAATAAGATCTTTTTGGATAGAAACCCTTCTTTCACTTTGATTTCTGGCCCTCAAATGATAACTAAATGAGTGAATTCAATGATTTGGGGAAGACTGACCAAGTGACACACAAGGCAAAGAAGGCAGAGAAGGCAAAGAAGGCAAAACTTATCCAGATATAGAAGATATAGAAGACCAAGAAGGCAAAACTTATCCAGGTATAGAAGTTTAATTTGATTACATTAAATATGACTTTAACATTTAATAATTTAGTTCTAGCCAAATTGTTTCCCCAAGTCATCATTTGAGGGGTTCCTGATTCCTGAGGATCTCATTGTTTTCTCCTTGAAAGCACTCAGATCCTTTGTTTGTTAAGGGGTGGCTTTGCTGGTGTGGCTATGGGTTATACCTTAATGTTATGGAAATGGCACAGTCTGGACTGAGTCCAGCTGAGATTAGTCAGGATTTCAGGATTCTCATGACGAAAGTAACACTACTGTTAGTGCTAAATTTTTTTCCACAGGCAAATTATTCACGCTGCATAACAGTTCAGAGTTAATGACCACCTTGGAACTGAGGGATTCCAGCAGAGGGTCACGTCCTTGAAAATGTTCCTATTTCACAGGGAGGGTCCTGGCCTGGCTCCCTGGCTGAGATTCCTCACCCAGAATCCCCACCTCTACTGCCTGCCCTTCAATTGTCCTGCTTCCCAGCTGGGTTTGAAAGAGAGAGAAAGCAGGCAGAACCCATTTGGTTCTCATGTTTCTGGTAGCACCACCCAGTCGGCTCAGAGAATTATCTTTAAAAGTTTTAAGATGTGTGTTCACTTCACAGATATTTCTTAATGGTCTGGTGTCCATCTGGCAAGGGGACAGGCATGGCAGATCCTGGGATGAGTGAGATAGACTTGGTGTTCGCTCTCATGGAGCTTATCCAGTGAAGAAGACACAATGGACAAGCTGTTGAAAGGTGATGAGTTGTGAGAAAGGGCAAGTAGAGGGGGCTAGAATCTAAACCTGGGGGCACTAACCAACTTTGAGGGGTCAGGGGAGTGCATGTTGGAGTTGACTGGATGAAGGCTGGAGAAGAAAACTATTCCACATGGAAGGAACCATTTCTATAAAGTCCCTCAAGCAGAAAAGCCAGTCATGTTGGAGGAACTACCAGAGGCCAGTAGGTCTGAGCAATGAAAGTGGAAGAAGGCCTCTTACATGTGGCTGAAGAAGGAGGCCATCAGGTCATGGGAGATCCTGAGAGGTATGGCAAGGATTTTGGACTTTATACCCAGAGCAGCAGTAAACTGTGAAGGATTTTAGGCTGAGCAGTGACCAGATAAGACATACTCATTCCTAATAACTGCTTATTCTCCCATGGTTCTTCACCATCTCCAGTATCCCTCCAGCACCATCATGGGGGTGCTCTCCAAGGTGCTGTATGCCTCGTGGCTCTGAATCATCCCCACTGTCAGGCTGCACACTGAGTAGCCCACACCCAAACCTAGTTTCTAAGGTTGAGCATCAGCCTCTGAAGTTTAAGGGGAATAAAAGAGGTGCAGGGAACACCCATGGACACAGCCCCCTTCTTTCCTTGCCCACACTGTTGTCAACATGCCCTCCTGTGTGACTGCACCATGCAGCCCATCAGAACAGAGCCACTACAGGAGCCAGAAATGTCAGAGAAAAAGAAAAGGCATACAAAATGTAAGCAGGTCTGCCTTCCCCAAAGTTTATTTTACTATACTGCTTCCCAACTAAAAGGAAGAATATATTTTTTTTTCTTGAGAATATAGAAACACTTTATTTGTTCAGGTTCTCAGAGTTTAGAACCAGCATAATGAAAGGACTTCAGAAAAATTATATTGCTAATCTATTTATATGTATTTTTGTGTGTGTCTGCTTGGACACATATAATATGTGCTCCATTTCATACGGTATGATAATGGAACAACAACTAGGCAGCATGTTATGTGAGTGGCTTTGCAGGTTCTCTACATGATGTGCCAGGCTCACTGCTAGGCAGTGGAGTTCATAAAGGTGAACAAATTCTTCTCTCAGGTACTTAGCAGACTACAGAGGACATGGAATATGTGCACAGTTTATGAAAATGAGATCTCCACCTTATGTAAGGAAAATATGTAATATTTTCAGAGTCTATGGCTAACTGCTCTTAAAAACAGGACAACAGGCCCCAAATGGAGTCACTAATGCTAAGCCCCACGTCCCAAACCAAGACTTAATTACAGTTTTGGCTCTCCCGGAAATGGAATCTCAAACCAGGCTATCAGGAATTGCCTGATCAGCACTAGTTAATCTGCCTGATAGACCCCTGTCCTCCCCTAAACGAAAGTAATGTTGCAATAACCAACCTTCTTTTTACCTAATATAACTTCCTTGTTTCTGCTTCCTTCTGCCTACAAAATTCTCTCATTTTGTACATTCCCTTCGAGCTCCTTTCTGTCTCCTAGGAGGGATGCTGTCCAATCGAATTGATTTTTGCTTAAAGAAGCTCTTAAAAATTTCAATATGCCTCAGTTTATCTTTTAACAGCTCTGGTGTGAGAAGAGGGAACTTAAGGAGACCCCCCAAAAGCCCCAAGAAGCAAAAGCAACCAGACTTGGTTACCTGCTGAGCCCTTGAACTCTGCTTTCCTGGTGCCTCTGGAGGTGGTGAGTAAGTCTCTCTCAGATGGTAGCTCTGCAGCTTTTCCTTGAGTTTCCAGATTTTATTAGAGCATTTTTTTTTCTTGACTGAGTCCAGAAACTCACCAAAATCAGATTGGGTCTGACTTAGAAACCAGACTTGGTCTGCAATTTGACTGGGTCCAGCTTAGAAACCGGACTGAGTCTAGAGTCGGACTGGGTCTGACGTAAGTTGTTCTGAGTCCGCTTGAGACCACAGGTGAATAAAATATTGTTTTAGGGCTGGACAAATAGGCTCACCTTACCAAAGATAATCTTGAATCACAGTGGCCACAGTGGAGAACTTTTAACCTAGATAATCTTATCATCTTTATCATAGAAAAAAAGGGGTCTCAGCCAGATATTCATCATAAAGCATAGAGGGAAAATGATTTTTCCTCCTCTAAAATTTTTGGTGACCAGGATGGGACCAGCTGGGACACCCTACTCACTGCAGACAGGATCCTAGGAGAACTGGCAGAAGCCATCAAAGGTAAGAATTCTTACCAAAGTCAGCTCTGTCATCTCTGTCTCCATCTGTGGTGCCTGATTAACAGAGGAAGGTAAAATTCCACTTTCTCCCTTCCTTCCCAAATTCAGATTGGAAGGCAGAAAACATTTATAAGAATTAGATCTTTAAATTGCGAATTTGCTTTTGAGTACACATTGGTTGTAGATCCCTTCTTTCCCAAGGACAGCCATTGCCTTCTTGTTTGTCTACCTTTTGTCCTGAGAACTTGGCTTGGCAACAGCCAAGTTGGGGTCGCCAAAAATTTTGGCTGGGAAGAAATGTGGGTTGCACTGCATGTGCGGCCAGGGTCCTACCCCTGTTGTCTGCTTTCATGGGAATTGTCTGAGGCTTGCTTTCTTTTGGTTATCTTTGGGAGTGTCTCTGGATCTTGGGAGGATAATATTTTTTGCACTCTTTGGGAATGCCTCTTGTCCTCATGGGGTTGTTCAGTACTGCTAGGAATATGTACTGTTTGTCCAGATGAAACCTGATAAGATATTCAAGGGGAATTTTTTCTTTTTTTTTTTTTTAGTAGCTCTATGGTAGGAAATTGGCCAAATTGGAAGTTGACATTCAGAGCCTGATGGGACCTTTTTTTAGGCTTTCTCCTCTAAGCTAAAATGAAACTATGTAGCCAGAGGGAAAGAAATATTCTGAAGGCTTTGTGGAAGGATTTACTAAAACACTCCACAGACACACAGCTCTAAATCTAGAACGTAGGATCTTTTGATTTCCATCTTAGTTGAAGATCTTCTCCCTGATGTAAAGAAGGAAATTGAGGATAGTATAGTTGGATGGGTGGGACGGCCTCTGTATCATTCAGGTTGCTACCCAATTCTTTGAGGAATTAAAGACAACTGTACTTGTCTTACAAATCAAGTCTTTGTAAGAACAAAAGTGAAGATATAGAAATAATTCAAAGCCCTCTTTTCCTTTCTACCAATGCCCAGATGTACCCTTTTGATCTCAGACGGTTTGCAGATACTGTAAACCTTCTGGACTTAAGGAACAAAAGTCTTTGGTGCAGCTTCCATTCTTTCTTTGTGCCTTTGAGATATAAATATTCTACATAGTCTTCTCTAGGAAGCAAGGGAATTCTTATCAGAAGGAGAAAAAAAAAAGAGAAAAGACTATTTTTAAAATTAGAACTATGAAAAATCTTAAAAGTCTCTTTTACAAATATTAGTAAAAAGCTATCTGAGCAGAGAGAAGAAAAAAAGAGAAAAGACTATTTTTAAAATTAGAACTATGAAAAATCTTAAAAGTCTCTTTTACAAATATTAGTAAAAAGCTATCTGAGCAGGTAGACTTAATTTATTCCATCTGCCAGAAACACAATGGACCCAACTGTTCTTTTATAAACTAGTGAGTTTCATATTATCATATCTGTTTCATGGCTAAAATTTTTAAATGAAAGCTAGAAGATCTCTGTTTGCCTCTTTATGTTTTTGTGTATCTGTATATGTTTGCTATAGATAGTAATTTTTTTGTACCTCTGAATGGTATTTCCAAAATTATTTTTTAAAGGCTCTAGTTAATTGGCTTAAAGATGAACAAGCATTATATAAATCAAGTATACTGTCAGAAATATAGACTAATCCATAAGTTTTTCCACATTCAAGAGATCTAGGATAATATTTGGTATACTAATACTTTTAGTATAAACAGGTTTAATAGAAGTCAAATAAGATCTTATTATATCTGTTGCAAATATTTCAGCAAGAAAAATAACTCAGTATGATGACATTTTTATGTTTCTATAAGTAAAGTGTGAATGAGATAAGAGCTTTTGGGTGAACTCCTTAGGAATAATTATATTTTAGGAATATCTCCTTAAAAATAATCTCTCCAACCATAAGGACCTACTATATAGCACAGGGAACTATACTGAATACCTTGTAATAACCTATAATGGAAGAGAAGGTAAAAAAAGAACATATATATATATAAAATATGTATATATATATGTGTGTGTATATTTTATATATATACATATACATATCTGTACGTATTATATATAGACATATATAACTGAATCACTTTGCTGTACACCTGAAACTAGCACATTATAAATCAACTACATTTCAATAAAAAAGTTAAAAAATCTCTGCAGATTCTGGTAACTTGAAGTTTAGATTTGTGCTAAATTAAGTTAAAAGATGAAAGTTTATTGAATAGTTAGGTCATTCCCAAATAAAACAAGATACTGAAACATTAATTACTGAATATTGGCTTCCTTTTACAAAGAAACTAAAGGGATTTAGGACTATCAATAAATATGTTTGGTTCCACACTGAGATATTTTCTATAAGAAAGCACGTTTTTAGAAATTATTACTGTTATTTATGTTTGCCAATCTACAGAATGCTAATGTAAAAGTTCATAATTGCTTACTTCTTAGTTTTCACTAGAAATTAAGGTTTTTAAGAGTTGAGTATTTGAATTTAAACATGTAATTAAAGCTACTCGAAATAATACGGGAAAAATTTCAGTATACAGTAGCAAAGTAGGATGTGTGTTTTCAGTAAAAGAAGGTATGAGGAATGGAATTGCATTTTGTTAAGGGAAAAGAAAGTAATTTTGTCTTAGAGATAGTTGTTTCTGGATGGAAAAAAAGAACAAACTAATATGAATACTAATATGGATACAAAAAGTTATGGAAAGTTTATGGAAAAGGAACCCTGAGAAAAGAGTTTTGTGCCTGGTCAGGATTGGCTAAGTTTAGAATAAATTTAACTGAGTAAATTTTAAAAAGTAAGCTGGTGCAAAACCAGAATTTGTTTTTTTTTCTCTTTTAAGAGGTCAGTTTTCGTAACATATTGATCTGCTTTTGATAACAGATTGTAAAGTTTATTTTACCTTTAATGAGTAATCTGTTATAACTTTCTGTTTTTGCCTTTGAAATCTTTTGTTATCACTTTGGTTAAGTGAATAACTATTGATTCACAGTGCCCTATGATCCTATTTGACCACGTGTTTTGAAACTTTTTGATATTTTTGATAACAAATTTCCCAAATCAAATTTTAATGTAGTTGCTTTGACCTCTAGCCAACTTTGGGATGCTTCAAAGGACCCTTGAAACATCCCAAAGAGAGCTATAAACTAATTAGGTTTATTTGGTATGTTAAATTACATGGGAAGCATTGTCAAATGAGTAATAAATCTTCTTAGGTTATACTGTATGAGTCAATGTTGTTAATTTATTAATAATTAATATTCTAGAAATTATATGGAATTTCTAAAAATCGGGTATGTCCTTGTAAAATGTTATCAGTCATAATTTTAGTCATTATTTTAAAATATTGTATGTCGCAGCGGTAATCAAGTTTCTTGGTCAATTGCATTGTAAGCAGGTCTTTTTTTTTTTCTTTTTGGTTGCACCAGGTCTTAGTTGTGACAGGCAGGCTCCTTTAGTTGCAGCTCAAGGGCTCCTTTAGTTGCGGCTTGCTGGCTCCTTAGTTGTGGCACATGGGCTCCTTATACGTGGCATGTGAAGCCTTAGGTGCGGCATGCATGTGGGATCTAGTTCCCTGGCCAGGGATTGAACCCAGGCCCCCTGCATTGGGAGCACAGAGTCTTAACCACTGCGCCAACAGGGAAGTCTCTATAAGCAGGTCTTTAACCATGCCTTCTGTGGTCTTTCATCATTCATAGACAGTTATTGTTTTACTCTGATGTTTTGCAAAAATGCTTCCTCTTCGAGAAGCTCCTTAGCAAGGACATTTTGACAAGCACAGGTTTCTGAAAACTTTTAGATCATACTGCTGAACTGGGTAAGAAATTAAGAATTCTAATGGTAAACCTGATGGCGTCATAAAACTGTTAATGAAAAGGATTAGTTATATAGGACTGTGTGAACTGGTGAATATGTTTATAATTTTTATGGTTTCTGTCTAAAATATTACTAGCTTTTAATCTGTGTTTTCCAGATATAAGGAAACCCTTCCCTTCAAGCTAATTATGAGTTACAGCAACTTGGTAAATTATATGTTTGTAAGCAGAATTGAAACATTTATCTTTTCTCTTTACTTGATTCCTCCAGAGACTGGAAACTCTTCAGTTGCCAGCAACTTAAAAAATCAGGTAAATTAGGAAAGCCATCTCCTAGCAGGTGCAGAAATCTCAAAGTATTTTGGGGACCTTGAAAAGGGAGGAATTCACCCAAATATGTAGATAACTCAGGTGAAATCATTGACAAGCCTTTGCCATGGCTTTCCTGGCCTTGACAGGCCTTTTAAAAATTCAATCCGAGGTGCCAAATAATAGGTTCCAGCAAAGCCAATTTCAGATGAGCCTGTATGAGTAACTACACTTCTGTAAATCATCAAGCCAAGATTTTTGAAGCCAGAATTATTTAGCAAACAAATTAGTCTTAATTTGGCTATATTTGGTAGAAATGAGGGTAATTTTAGAGAGAAAAAGATCATGTTTCTATGGAGAGTAAATTCAAGTTTTGTTAATTGAGGTCTATATTTACTAAGAGCCACTTCCCAAATATCTCCTTTTTATTATATTCTTGTAAATTTTAGCTGAATCATTAAAAGGACACTCTAGTTTGTTACTGAAGTTTTTCTCATTAATCCATCTTTGGATGAAGATCATATGCCCCATGACCTGCAACCAGGGGATTATGCATACTGGAGAAGACGTCATTTAAAGACTGTCTCCAACCTAGATGGTAGGACCCTTATCAGGTCCTCTTCACTAGCTCATGCACAGTGAACCTGAAGGGAATTGACTCTTGGATTAATATTTCCACTTAAAAAGGGCCCCTGAAATGGACTGGCCTATACAGAGCACTGCTGACCTCAAAATCACCTTAAAACAATGCTCAAACAGAGGAGAAACTACCAGACCACGATGGTAAGAAGAAGACATCTAAAGTAGACAGCTGATCCAAGATGCCAAACCCGGCCTGTATACCAGTTACTTTGATAATTGCTTACACTTGCTTATGAACTAAACGTATTTCACAATCTTAAGCAGAGTTAAAATTAATTGAATTGTTGAGTTTATGGTCAATTATCTATATCCAGTACTTCTGGTTACCTTGGTGGATTTCTCCACTCCAAGGCTCTAATTGGATGGCCCTTAGGAAATTATTCTAGAAGAAAGAAGTTATAGTTCTGTTTGGGCCACTATTGATATTACTGGATGGGACTCCCTCACTTGGCCAATCAATCATAGTTGCTCTGACCATTGCCATAAATATAAAAGACCCCCCTTATGTTGGGAACAATTCAACCATACTAAGGGTAGCCAGGCTAAATAATACAAGGAAATGTGTCTGGGTGCCTTATGAACAATGCCAGTATATCATTTCCTTTAAAGGTAAGGATTGGTACAGAACAGATTAAGTCAGATGACCTAGGGGTATACTGTGTGGAACCTAATGGAAGTTCTTGGCTTAAATTCTTACTTATAACCTTACAAATACTACTAGCTATATTACTTGTATTCTACCTATTTTATAAGATTGTTGTTTCTTTCCTTACCAAATATGTGACTGAGCCTCTGATAAAATAATAAGAAGGTGACTTAAGGCTGTTGACCAGATATATAGTTCTATACAAGATCAATGATGGTAATAGTGTAACTTTAGATATGGAAAGAAGCATCAAGAGGGAATGATTTCCTGGACCATAACAGACTAGTAAATCAGTGGTCCAGAGACTTTTGGCTATAGTTAATAGGGCCTAGTCCAGTAATAGCACACTGAGTGGCCTATCAGTGAGATCTTTGCCTGGGACAAAATGATGATGAAATGCCTCCCAAACCATGGTCGAATTTATGACCATGAGAGGGCACTGCCAACTAAAAATGGTCACTTGCCATCTGTCACTACAAGTATGATATCACTAGCCAATGCAGTCACTGACTTTTGACACACCCTGAAAAGAGTTCATGGTGGAGATCAGGAATGAGGTACTCCGTGCTCTGGAAGGATCTGGCAGAACAGGTCTTCAGATAGTTAGATATTTTCAGGAGAAGATTTCATGAACCTGATTTCTTGCTTCTTCCTATATCTAGAAAGTATCTAGAAAATCACTAAAATCATTAACGGAGACATCTGCTCCTCATGACTAGCAGCAACCTTCTTGTGACCGGCAGCAACCCTCTGCCAGAAATGTGTACTTGATTGCATGTATCCCTCTTCACTAAAATCACGTATATACTGACCTCCCTCCACCTCTTTAGAGCAGTTCCTCAGAGATATCTGAGAGGCTTCTCCTGGGCTATAGTCCTCATTTTGCCCCAAAGAAAACTTAACTCACAACTCTCACATTGTGCATTGTTTTTCAGTCGACACCTTCAAACTAAAAATTTAAAATAAAATGTCTTCATTTTTGACAAGCAGCTCTACCACCAGTCTCTGATATCCTGTCATTCAATGCAGCCATTGCATCTAAGGTCTCACGAGGGTTGGGTCAAAGACAACTCCAAGGTTTTCTGCATTCCTACGATTCTCCTTTCAATGGAGGATCATTTTGGAAAACACATGTAAAGGAGTGTGACTTTGTGTAAGCCATGGTGTGCTGCATTGTGCTCTAGCACTAAAAGAAAAACAAGATTCACAGTAAAGGTTTGTGCCCGCTTATCAAAAAAAGAAAAGCTAGTTTTAGTTTAGTCAGTTTAATTAAAACAGGCATATCTTTAGAGTTTTCAACATTAAATACTTTTATCCTGTGTTTGCTAAAAGTCAAATAAGTTCATGTTACTCCTATTACAGAATTTTTTTTATTACAGTCAGCAAGAAAGATAACAAGCTGATGGTTAGCTGTTTAATAGCTCTTGAAATTTTCATGAGTGATCTAAACATAGTTGTTATGAAGAAGGAAATTACATAGATGTAAATAAGATAAAAGTATATAAATAAAGTTTTCAACAACAGTTATGTTCAGTGCTATGTCTACTTAAAAATAGTTTCCAGGGCTTCCCTGGTGGCGCAGTGGTTGAGAGTCCACCTGCCGATGCAGGGGACACGGGTTCGTGCCCCGGTCCGGGAAGATCCCACATGCCGCAGAGTGGCTGGGCCCGTGAGCCATGGCCACTGAGCCTGCGTGTCCAGAGCCTGTGCTTCGCAACGGGGGAGGCCACAACAGTGAGAGGCAAGCGTACCGCAAAAAAAAAAAAAAAAAAAAAAAAAAAAGTTTCCAAAATCTTTTTGGGACTTCTCAGGCTACATAATCGTGTGAGCCAATTCCTTGTGCTAAATGTTGAATTTGGACAGAAATTTGACGAAACGGGTGGAGGATTTCCTTTGAAACTTGGGGAGGTAAACGGAATAGCTTGAGTCAAAGCACAAGGGAGGTAATAGCTAATAATAGCAAAGATTTATTGACCACTTTCTAAATGCCAGGCACAGTCTGAGCACTTCACACACATTAGATTGATTCATCCGCACACTTCTATACATACAAAGACTCCCAGAGGACATGGAACTTTGTCTTTTCCCAGCTATACACTCAATATAGTGAACACACAATATTCAAACTCTCTGCTAAAGGAATGAATGAATCAGTGGTGGAGCAGCAATCCTAAAGCTCCAGGATCTCAATTTGAACCGATGCCAAAAAGATGGATATAAAAATGTATGCTTTATCTTGTGTTCCACCTATTTCTTAACAAAAGAGTGAGCTTTTGGACAAATGAATTTTTAGAATTTTTAACAGCTAGAATTGTTTTGTCTTTCAGTTATATTTTTGCTTAATCTTACTGATTAAAAATTTAAAAAAATGTTTTTTGCTTCTCCATTCTGTTTGAACACCTTTGGAGGACTTATACAGACTGTCTAGAAGTCCACACAGTAGGAAGGTATTATTGATGTAGCTGCTGGAGGGGAGAGAGGTAGGGGGCAAACAGGATAAGAAGAGAAGTGCTTTTCATTTGCAGGCCAAGAACCTGGAAGTTAAGAAAACCTGATTCCCCCAGGGACAGATATGGAGGTTGGTGGGGGTGAGGGTAGCACCCCAAACCCATTTTCTCTTACCTATTTCACCTGATTCCTCTCTAGTGGTTCATAAACTGAGAAAAAAGTCAATGGAAACCAAGCAGGACGAAAAGGGTACTTAGAGCTCAGTGAAAGGCACACAGAAACTTTTGTTCTATGTCAAACAGCTTAGGAAGGGATGGGTCTGTTTCTAAGTGGTCGTGGATTCTGTTTACCAATGAATGTGGAGTTTCATTTTCCCAGGGACAGTCAATAATACTCTTCATTAGGAGCCTTATTTCAGGATGGTGTTGAATAATTGCTGGATTGCTGAAAGTGTCCAACTAGGAGCTCTCCTTCCACTACACTGCTTGGCTCCTGTCCCCTTCCAGCCACTTCAAGCTCTTGTAAACAGTGTTCATTTTCTATCACAAGTGAGGAAATGTGACTGTGAAGCCAAGGTGCCAGGTCCCTGGAGAGGGCCTGCCAGGGAGTCCGTTTCCTCACATCTCATCTTAGTTTGTAACTTGCTGGCGGGGTTGAATAATCGCTGAAGCTCCATGTCTTCCCATCCTATTCTGCTCCACTAACTTATGAAACACCCAGCAACCCACTGGAGGACTAGCAGATCAACCAGATGTTTCCTGAGCAAAGACAGCACACACAGCATCTCATGAGAGGGGAGTGCTGGCGGGCACTCACCCCCTCTGAAATCACTGGGTGAGGTAGCCTGCGGGAGAATTTCAAAGCAGAGCAGTTTGGCCAGGGAAGAGCTCAGCTGGCAGCTCTGTGCTGGGATTAACTGACCCGGATAACTAGGGAGAGGGAATTAACAATTAAGTGTGTTTATTATCTGGGAGGAATTAGACCCTGCACTCCCTGATGATCCATGGGCACTAGGAGACCCTCCCCCATGGCTCCCCATGCACAGTCAGGATCACACGTTCACCATGTTGCTTCTCATCCCAGCCTCTTGTTTTCCTGACTGCCTGAGGTTGATGTGGGACAAGCTCAACTGATTGCAAAGAACAGCAATGAAATACTAATAATTATTAATAATAAGTCAACTAATTCTTCTTCCCCAAAAACATAGGGAAGATCAAATCCTAAAAAATCTGATTTCAAATCATCTCCCTATAGATCACTGGCTTGTCAGATTCAGGGTGTTAAGAACCAATAAAATAACTTTTTTTTTTTTTTTTGCGGTATGTGGGCCTCTCACTGTTGTGGCCTCTCCCGTTATGGAGCACAGGCTCTGGACGCGCAGGCTCAGCGGCCATGGCTCACGGTCCCAGCCGCTCCGCGGCATGTGGGATCTTCCTGGACTGGGGCACGAACCCGTGTCCCCTGCATTGGCAGGCGGACTCTCAACCACTGCACCACCAGGGAAGCTCAATAACATAATTTTTTAATATAGGGAATATAGGTATGGAATTGGCAGCTTCCCTTTATAAAGGTCATTAAGAGTAAATCATAACAAACAAATAAACAAGTAGAATGCATGTACCATTTGCTGTCACTGTGATCTCATAAGTGAAAGGTTAATTCAACCTCCTTGACTCAAATCTCTCCAAGAAATTTTCTTCACACTCATCAAATCCAAACTTCTGAGACCTGAAAAGTGCCATATGATCTAGGATCTGACCCCTCCCTACTTTATAAGCTCCACCTCCTCCTCTTCTTATTCCTCTCCAGCCTTTTCTCTGTCCCTCAAACAAGCCCTGGTCTTTGCATTTGCTGTTCCCAACATCTGCAGTGCTCTTCCCCCAGATCTGTGGACAGTGGCCTCCTGTGGTGGGCAGCTTTCTGACTGGACTCCCAGGGACCTACCTCTTGGGATTCATGTCTGTGTGATCCCCTCCCTTGTGTGTGAGCTGGACCTAGTGACTTGCTTCTAAAGAACAGACAAGAATAGACCTGCTGTAAAGAAGAGCAAAAGCAATGGGATGTCATCCAGAGATTAGGTTATGAAGGACTCTGATGTCCTTCATACTCTCTCTCTCTGTGGCTCTTCTCACTTGCTCTGATGAAGCGAGTTGCCATTTGTGAGCTGCTCTCTGCAGAGACTGATGTGACAAAGAACAGAGGGTGGTCACTTGACCAGTAGCCAGTTATGAGCTGAGACCCTCCATCCAACAGGTTGGGAGGAACTGAGTCCTGCCAACAACCTCTTCAGTAAGACTGCAGAGGATCCTTCCCTGTCCTTTCTGGCTTTGCGAGGACTGCAGTCCCAGAGGTCACCTTGACTGCAGCCTCATGAGAGACGCTGAGCCAGACACCGGGACCAACTCAGCCACACCTAGGGCCCAGACACACTGAAACCCAGAGATAATAAGTGTTGGTACATTTGGTATAGGAGTGATAGTTGACTAATCCTCTACCTCACTTCACTCAGGTCTCTGCTCAGATGTCTTCTAACTCACCTTCAAAACCAACCAATCCCACAAAACTGATCACACGTTATCCTCTCTCCCCTTACCCATCTGAATTTTTCATTCTGGAAATTTTCACCACTTACATTTATATTATATATATATATTTATTAGCTGGCTTCCCTACTAGAGTGAATATTCACGGAACACCATGTATGTCATTTTGCTGCTGGAAAAAATGATTGTATATTTGCACTGGTAGTGCTCAGGTTTATTTGAAAAATACTTATTGTAGGGCTACTTTATGCCAGGTCCAGTGACATAGGTTATTTATCCCTGTTCCCTGGTATCTGGGTCAATTAATTTAGTCTTGGCTAATTATTTTTTTTCTTGTTATTGTTATTAAATTACTCTGTTTTGATAATGCACCTTTCTATACCTTTAACTGAGTATTTAATTAAAATGTCAATATTTTTTCAAGGCCAGAGCTTGTACATGCTTGACTGAAGTCCAGCGTAGGGTGATCATAATTATTTGAAAAGTTCTTATTTCACACTCTGCTGAAGTCTAACTTCCTGGTACTTTCCTCTATTGGCCTTAGCTTTGCTTTCAGAATTAATAAATAACATAACTATTCTGTTTCCACCAGCCCAGTTCTAATCATTCCATTAACTCTATTTCTTTGGGTGTAAGTTCTGCTTGTTGAATTTATTGTCTTTTTTACACTGTAGACTTTTCTTGCATGTTTGATGTTTCCTCATTTGGTGTTCACCTTTGCCGTTGAGATTCCAATTCAACTTTATGCTTCCTTAGAGGAGGTGTGAGAGCTACTGCTGAGGTTCACTGTCCCCCGGTTTCCAGTGGGAGCGGGCGGGCCCATGGTGCCATTAGCCAGGCCTCCAGGGACCGTCTCCTGTATCACCTGACCTAGGAACTGCCTTGTGTATCTGCCTGAAGCTCCCACAGTCACTCTTCTGATCTCAAGGCAGATTCCTCTACCCCTGGTGTATGTGTGTGTGGTCTACGGTGGTTAATTGGCCCGACTACTTTCCTAC